TCCGCAGCCGACTCAAAGTCCCTGAGGAAGACCTTGATGTCTTCATCCTCGAACACCGCAGGCCACGGAAAATTCATCACGTCCTGAAGCAGTGACACCATTAGAAAGAAACGAAAAGACAGAGACGAAGGAAGGAATGTCTTCCTCAACTTACATCTGGTACTGTAGTCATCACATATGGCACACATTGCACTAAAACAGTCATCTGCATAATGTGCTTCATTTCCTCTTCTGTTTCTATCTCAATTTGCTCTTGATACGTCAGTGCTGTCTCTTGAGTTTCTCTTAGCAGAATCCTTACCCACTGCTAGTGATTCCTTATGATTTCCGTCGCCTTCTCAAAATATACTACTTGTATCCATTCTTATCAGCAACCTCCACTACAGTATGAGTCAAATAACTGCGAAACTCGTACCATGTTACGTACGGTATTTAACCACTGGTTCTTTTGGTTACCAGATTCTCAGTCAACCAGAATTAGACAAGCAGGATGTACGTTTATACATTATTACATCATATGTTCAAATGGTGACTACTACAGCCGTACAATACAGGTGATATGAATGACACATATCCTTGCCACTATAAACGTTTCTGCCTAACATCTTAAAATTATTTTATGAGTATTTATCAATAAGTTTTTGTCCTTGCCTTAATTATTATAATCATTTTAGTAAATAAAACTGATGTAATTGTGACTTATCATCCTCACCTTTGTCATTCAGCTTACCTTCACTACCAATAGTTATATGTCTCTTATAGTTTCTTCAATTTCTTAACCTGTAACGGATTTTACCTATCCAAGTCCATTAAACATCATTTCTTGGCGCTTACATCATGCTGCTAATTTCTCATTACTGACGTTACCTGTTAGAACTCAAGGGTATTGACGGATAAATGCATACTGTTTGTGAGATATGCATACAGAATTCAAGTGTAGCTATTTGTTTGATGAGCAATGCAAAGTATGCTTTCTACTAAAATCTGTCAGTCTTACTACAGTGTGTTAAACATTAAAATGCAGTCAAAGTAACAGGCGATTTAAACGCTCAAGTTGGGGAGCTGAAGTAATCAGAAAGGTACCTTATGGGATATCTGCAATATTCTCTGTCAATGAATCGACAACCGTTACCTTTGCCTTTAGTTTTTCTTCAACGGCTAACACCAGATTTAGACGAAAGGGAAGACATGGTCTTGTTTGGCCTCTACTAATATTAGGCCAATGTTGTTGGAGAGAATCGGCGGCGGACTGCCGCTCCTCATAGAGTAGCTAGTTAGTCTCCGATCACATGTTCATCATGGTGGTGTTTATAACTGCACTTTAATGGTCTCAAGAAACAGAGTGGTGGAGCATCTCTATGCTTGTCTGAAAGATGAGGAAGTCAAGTATACGTTTTTAAAGCAAATAAATATGCATTAATCTTGACATAGCAGCAATTCTGTAGTTGAATAAGCTTGGTGTGACATCGTGTCTGTCGTAGAAACAGTAATGAAGACCATTAGTAACCTAGATGCATAGGTGAACAAAAGCCAGTGGATTTTTGTGTCCTTATCCGAATGAATTGGCCTGAAACGAGTCATCCAAGGCAGCTTTACTGTACGTAGTAGTAGTAGTAGTAGTAGTAGTAGTAGTAGTAGTAGTAGTAGTAGTAGTAGTAGTAGTAGTAGTAGTAGTAGCAGTTTATTCGGCTTGACGAGAACGTCGATGGTAAGTGCGACATTCACCAAAATGGTGGGCTATTGATAAAGCCTCATGACAGGTACCTGGAAAGTTGGGTGGAGAAGAACAGTTTAACTTAACTGCAGCTATACTTTAGTTAACCGTTATCCAGTATCAACGAAAATGGGATATAGACGTGTGTGTTCAACTCTTACTGAAATTGAGAATGCTTTACAATTTTTAAACGATGTAAAGCGGAAGTACTTGACTGCTTTCCACCAGACGTTTTCGGTGAAGGAGGTAAGCAATTACTCAGTGGAGTCACAAAGGTACTAACCAGTGTATGTGAATCAGATTTAGTCCCATTAGACTGGTATAGATAGTTAACTATTCCAGTCTTTATAGGAGAACAGAATTTATAGCATGACAACCAGGGAATCAGTATGACTAACGTGGTATGTGAGATTTCACAGTGCATAATTACCCGATACTTAGCCGGAGGTTGACAAAACAAGGTCGGTTTTGAAATTGGACGAGGATGCATCAATCAAATCTTCACCCTTTACGTGTTCTCAAATACAGGTATGCTTACCGGTGTCGGATACATGCTGTTTCTTCGCATGAAAAAGGAACTCAACTCTGTCAACCAAGAAGTTTTGTAGCAGTGTTTGACTCTAAAAGGTGTATAGAGTAAGCCTGTAATACTCATCAAAGCCGTCTAATCAAAATCATCCACCTATTTAAGGGTTTATGGAGAAACGTTATTTGAGGCAAGTATGGCCAGTGGCGTCCATCAATGATGAACACTGTCGCCATTCTTATTTAACCTTGTTACAGATACGTTGATGAATGCGATCCTACACACCCGCTTGTCTCAATTAATGGAGGGTGCCTTGTTGAGTTGCGTTAGTTCGAATACCTTCGTTGCTGACGAAATCTCAACTCGTATACGAAAGCCCTCTTTAGCTTTTACTGACTTACACCACTTCTGTTACCCATGAGATATCCAGCTACCTATCTAAATACGAATAAAGTGAGCAGCAGTTTACTCTGTCCTGTTACATGGTCTGAAAATAAACTGGTTCCTGAAAGTAGAAGATAAAAAGAGGTTGTTGTTTCTTACGTAAGTGCCCATACAGAACTGCTCACGTATCATGGAATCACCGTAATGGCAATCTTGAGAATAGATGCAGGGTTGTAAATATAGCAGATCAATCTGTCGAAGAGGCTGTAAATGTTCACCAACTAATGTAAACTAGTTGTCTTGCATGAGGTGAGGGACTACCTACCTACCTGCTTTGTTATACTAAATAGGATAAAGTCGCAATATGGTTGTTAATAGTGGCTAGGATAATACGTGGTAGCAATCTATTACGTCTCTGATTTTAGGTGTGAGGCGTGTAGGGAGGTACAGAATAACTAGATGGCGTCCTCAAGACTATAGAGATCAGTTGCTGGATACTGTTGATGATCTTGGATAAAATCAGTGAAAATGCAGTATATGAATTTATTCTTTTGACCTTGAAAATTTGAACATGTTCATTTACGTACACCTACCTTTTTTCTCCTCTTATTCTATTTTGCTTCTTTCCCCTCCAGTGAAGTAAGAAAACTTGAACTGACCCAGTTCTGAACGGGATTCTATACTGATTTTTCTGTCTGTATTTCTACATGTCACGCTTATGTTCATGCAGACGATTGACTAAAAAGTGGTTTTACACGATGAAATCAACAGCCAAATTAAACTAGTTAGAATGTAGAACGTGGATCCCTAAAAGTTATCTATCTTAAAGCAAAACGGTTTTCTTCGCTGAATGGCATTAGGAAGGGTTTGTGTTCAATCAAACAAAAACTAGTTAGAAAGTTTTACTACCGACAGTTTATTAAAGTCTTTATTTGTGAAAATAAGGTTCCAGTAGACTTCAAATGGGTTATAAAATACAAATATGCATCTATTTTAAACCTTCTTGCGCACACATAACCGACTGGTCATCTCCAAAATATAACACAGTTTTATGAATGTCTAACTAATCACCTTTCAAAACACTTACCTTCCTTGCTACCTTATAAGTTGTCATAGCTAACTGAAGGTAATAAATAGTAAATTTATTTCGAAGAAAACCTGTTTTCACTTAAACGTCTATGCTTCAGCATTTTTTCAACCTGTTATAAAATCCTCATTATTCTAATAATGACTATATTCGTTTCCTATCTCTATTTACTCTAAAAATACTCAAGTGAGCCTGTATGGTTGATAATACTCACGTCATTAGATGCTCTTCATCACTTCATTTTCCGATTAGTATTCATCATACAGTGACATCAATTGAAAAAATATTATAAAATTGGGGGCACTAGACAGCTGTTTCACCCCAGCATAGGACTCCTCAACAGTTTGCACCCATAACCCTCCTCACCGAGCCTTCACGTTTGCAACCAGCATGTTAACATTAAATCCATGGGTCGAAATTCAGCGACCCATGTTTCCTAATTCTGTCATTTCACGATATTGCTCAACTTCTATCCACTGCCGTCAGTCAGTAAATGTCCTCATATTCGACTTAGTTGACCCCACTAGTCACAGTTTCAACTATCACCTCGAAGAACGTTAGTCAGCTGTTTCATGGATTATGAAGACATTCTCGTCTATATTTACACAACTTACTATAACTTTCTGTTCAAGTTTTGTAAATTTCACTTTCCATTCTCTAAGCATTCCAACAGTAATACAAGGAATAACACTAAAACTATACCCGTCGCACAAAAGGTAGCTATCATGGCTCATTGGTGTAGTGGATAACACCCTGGCGTTTGAAGCGATCAATCTTGAGCCCGAATCCCAGTGGGAACAACATCACTCACTGGGAGGCAGGTACATCCAGCTAACGAGTCCCAAATAGGACGAAATGCACATCTTGGATCCCACTGCTAGCCACTGCTCACCATTACTATAAGTAATAGTAACATTTGTATGAATAAAAGGAAGTAAACAATGAAGGCGGGAATAAGATACAAATATTTCTACAAATGTATTTTATTTATGCATTTGACAATCTGTAGAAATGAGATGGAGACACAAATTTTTGTGTATTCAGTTCTCTTTTTTAAATTTATTCTGTGTAATAAATGACAAACACTAGATCATGAATAGACCAATAACAACATCTTTGTCAATATGATTTTTTAGTGTTTCCATAGAAAATGTTACCACAAGAAAATATTTAGAATGATCAATGTATTTTTCTACTCAATTTTCATTGACTGCATGTAGAAGATTATAAATTTCATGATTTTCTCACATGTTTAACATCAAATATTTTTACCCATTTTTGTTTAATTATTATTTTTTTGAAGAGATTAATTCTTTTGACATATATGAACAACGTATACGTTCATATTGAGGAGGCAATATACGATTTTCTTTATCCATAAAAGATTTTAACATAGTTGTTTGAATCAATTGATAGCCTAATTGTGAACATATTTCCTAGATTTGAAAAATAATGAAATTTATTCAACACAACAATAATAATATTGATGATAGTGATGATACAGACAGTAAAACATTGAAAAAAAAGGTTTAGAGAATGACCTGAAAATAGTATTCATCATAGACTGATATCATTTGGAGAACTATTGAAAAGCTGATGAATGCGGTCTCCATGAGACTTACAGTTACTAAGTTTGATCCCTAGCCAGGTGGTGGGTTTGAATTGTTGAGAATTCTGTTCACTACTCTCAGGTTTTTGATGATTCTTCAAATGATGTCAGTTCATGATGACTGCTACCTTAAAAACTAAATTTTTATTCATTTATAAAATGATTCATGTATTCATTTGTCTGTGATATCTTGCTAGAAAGTCTTCGGATTAACTAGTTATCTGATATTAATTGGGAAAATAATATACTGGGTGATGACTTAAGATGAAATGAACTCATCGACCTTTGTCTGACAACATACTTCCAGTTCAAGGGCAAAATATACTAACAGATGAACTCCAATGGGATCACCAATATCCGGATTAATTGCAGAAGCAGTCATGCAGAGACTGGAAGCTATCATCCTACCTGTGAACAAACCAAAATTCTGCAATCGTTATGTGGACGACACTTTTTTCATCATTAAAAAAGGTGATATAGAAAACACCTACAATATAATCAACAACGTTTTCAATGACATCAAATTCCCAATGGAGAAGGAGTCAAACAACCAACTACCATTCCTGGATGTCCTGGTCAACAGAACAAATACGAGGAAGCTGGAAACCCAAGTGTACAGTAAGCCAACACACACTGACCAAGTCCTCAACTACAGTAGCAACAACTCAACAACCCACAAGATCAGTTGGGTGCAGACTCTATTCAGAAGAGCGAGAACACACTGCAGTAAAACAGCTTCAAGGAGAAATGAAGAAAATTACTTGATGTCCATCTTAAAGAAGAACGGCTACCCACGAAACTTTATCAGAACATGCCTATCCTGTACATCATCAACTACAAACTCATCGACAGAAATCAATAAACGCATCATCCTACCATACATAAACAATATGTATCAGAAATCACGACAGGATTACTGAAACTACTTGGAATTGATGTGGCTCATAAGCCAACAAATTCCCTCCAAACACTATTATGCAGACCGAAGGATGCAACAACCAAAGAAGACAGACCGAATATCATTTACAAAATCAACTGCAATAACTGTGGTCAACACTACATTGGACAAATCGACCGTCCTCTTCACCTTCGTCTACATGAACATCAATTGGCTATTAAATGTCATGACATTTCACCACTCATTTCAATGCATGTGGATAATTATGGACATGAATTCAACTTCGACAATGTAGAAATTTTGGATGGAGAGAGGAAACCCAAAAAATATCAGAGAATTTCCAGAAGCTTGGTATTCAAGTCAGTCAGTCAGCAATCAACAGATGTATACACATGGACTCAATCTATCAACCAATAGGAAAGATGATAAACGACAGAAAGGTCAGAGATCAGGTCAAGCAGAGGGACAGCCAACAAGAAAATCTATACAGTCAGTCAATGACACAACAGTCAAAGGAAACAACCAATCATAGACTGTTTCGTTAATAGAAGCTACTAAAACACTCACGGAGAGATATTGACAGCTCACTTCATACTGAAGTTAGTGCTGATGATGTCGCTGTCTAGAAAGACGATGAAAGCTTCACGATTAAATAACCCAGCTCAGAGAACACAATTTAACCAAAACCAGCGATCTCTAAGTTACCTACCCAGTGCTCTACCGGCTGGGCCATGAAAGCCAGCTTCAGATTAGATAATAATTTCACTTCAATTATTAATTGGTAGAGGACTGGACCCTAGACGTCACTGGTTTGAGTACTGCCACTGCCCTGACTTTCATTTCACTTTCAATCATCACCTGTTATCAATAATACAGGTATGTGAGAGCACGGCTATCTCAAATAGTCAAACTAATATATGTATCTCTTAATATAATATCACCACTAGATGGCTATCGCAATCGTGTGATTTTTTGGCAAAATTAAAATAGTTTCTGTTACAACTTCTCTTCATAGAACTTGAAACCAATCGACAACTGGTTTTGGTTGAATTCACGAGATAAGCCTATTTACAAAACCTTTGAATATGATAGAGGTAATAGGATAACCATTATTCTCTATGCTGAGACAACAACTTAGCCCATATATATAGAGATGTATCTGTCCATTACAGTCACCACTTATTTCTCACTACATGTGTTAACACAAATTATTATTTAAGTTGAAAATGTCAAATTTAACTGTATCATTACGTTATTGCACGATTTATGTATAAATCTGCATAACTAAGAAGTAAACACGCTGCCGACCATACATTTTATATAAAATGAAGAAACTACAGTTTACTGATCTGAATGAACACCTATCACTCTCTTCAGAATTTCTAGTAATGAGCAAAATAGTGTTCACTTTATAGTCAGGTAGGATCACAAAGAGGGAAGCTACAAATTTTCAGATATCTACTAGATTAACGATGAACATACAATTTAGACTAATGTCTGTAGTAAAGAATTGAAGATTAAGCATTATTCAAAGAATAGATCTTTTACAATGGTATTGAGTGATAATTGAAGACGAAATGAGAATTCAGACCACGGCGGAGCTCGAACCAGTGACTACAGGGTTTACGGACTTGTGCTTTACTAACTTAGCTGCGAAACCGGACTGTTGACTAGATTTTTATTCCATTTCAACCACCAAAGGTTTTACCCAATTGCAATGTGAATTCATAATGCGTTACTACTGCTTGATCTTACTCACACTGTACATTGTACAATGAACCATGGAATAAAAAATTTCGGGTAATTATCATCGGAGTGAAGAATCTACACAAAGAAAATTTAATAATCTCTGAGTTAGTTTCTCTTCAGTCTTTCTATGAGACAATAATTATACAAGAAAAATTTTCTTTAGATGTAATCAACAGCAATATGGTTAAGTTCAATGAGAAAACTTGCAATTATTCGCATAGGATTTAAGCTACATACTTTAAAAGGGACCAGAAAAACCCTAAGGGTTTTTTTTTATTATTCAGCTATTCGACTTTTAAACTTGCCTCGATTAGAATATTCAAATCTAAGATATACGAATGCTTATCCACTTTCATTTCAAACTTTATTTACAAGTTCATATGTACTTGTTCAACTAAATGTGTTTGTTTATCTTAACGTATACTAATTGGTTGAACCTTAGGGGATAAGAACTGCTTACAAATCGGATTATTTACTAATAATTTGACATTAAGTGTAGCAGGATTATATTTTAAATCTTTAAAGGACTATAAACAATAAAATACTATTACAATTTAATTCTACTTATTAGATTTAACTGAATTTAAAGGTCATGTAAAAACTTTTGAAATAAGGAATCAGGTTTGTATATTTCATTAGAAGATTATAGTTGATTTTAAATTTTTAGGCCACTCTACAAATGACTAAGATAACCAGTTAGGTTACTTTATTACAGGTTACAAGGCGACTTATATTAAAATATAGAACTTCATTTGGTCATCTAAGCAGTTTCTATGGTGTCTTTTAAAGGTGAGACTAAAAGTTATCCCCAGGTGTTATAGGATACTGTCTGAAAATATATTTTTTTAATGTCTTTTGTGAATATATATTCTGAAGTAAAAGCCGTAATCCTAATTCCTTTTTTTGGACGTAAGTTGAAGTCTCACCTAACTCAATGTGATCCGTGAGCATCATTTATCCTGAATTATTATTATTATTATTATTATTATTATTATTATTATTACTAGTCCCTTGAGTTCCTAGTGGAACACGGCTTCAGTAGCACGTCTCCAGTGGCCTCTGTTCTCTGAGATCTTTTGAACCTGGTTCCACGACAGCCCACAACCTCTCATTTCCTCTTCGCACGATCTCCTCCATGTCACCCTCACCTCAGACACCCAACTCGTCGCTTCCCATGGAGATTCCACTCGAGTGCCTGGCTGGTCTGATGCGTGATGTCCCCAGTCGGCCTTCTCAGTGCATGCCCAATCCATCTCCACTTCCTTCTGCATATTTGTTGCGTGATAGGTTCTTGGTTGGTTCGTCACCAGCCAGAGCTCCTTGTTGCTTATTCTTTCTGGCAATCCATCTGATCTTCAGTAGCGAGCCAGCGTAAGCGGTTGTTGATGAATGTCTGTAGTTTATTGGAAATCGCTTTCGTAATACGCCAAGCCTGAATAACTGTACTTAATTTCCACCTAAGAAGTGGAAGTGTAGTCAACACTGAACATAAAATCAACAGTTTGAAACACAATTTATTGACAGATGGTATTGTAAAAACCATTCAAATAAATTAAAATATTCGTAACAAAAACACAGAAAATGTTGATATCTTCACAAACAACTGGACAAAGTATGGGGAGCACGATAACATCTGGGGATATTTTCTAGTCTTACCCTCTTTTAAAAGAGTTACTTTGGTCAACTGTGTAGGCCACCTAAGCAGTTGCTGAAATGACCAATCAAATTTTGGTATCCCGGCTAGTAAGGAAGTATTTTATAAAGTTTGTTTTACATTAGCACAGCTTAAATGTTAGTTAGAGCATCGTTTTTTATACAACTTTACTGAGAATTTTATCTCTGCAACATTCAATACCCTATATGCAAATATCAATGAAAATATAATAAACATAATTATTATCATTATGTTTCAAACCATGTTAACAGTCTAGATAACTCGATTGACTGTAAATGCAAACGTAACAACAAGTGAAACAACCAATTAAATTTAACTATTATGACTGAAAAGGTGAATTTACATAAAATGAAGCAATGGAAGTGATTATCTTACTTCTTTTGTTGTAATTACCTTTAGGGTCACTCTTCTCACCAATACTATACCAATATCTATGATGTAAAAGTCTACTGTAGTCAGTCAGTGAAATATTTTTTCAAATTGTACACTTTCACATGAAATTGTTGACAGTAGAGCTCTCAGTCTACTCAAAAACAATGATCTTTGTTGAAGCACCTCTACATAGCATAGACTGACCGTAATAGAGACTTTACTACTACAAAACACAGTGGATGTATATTATTCTGCAAACCTTTTCTTTATTTTTGGTATGACAGTTTTATTTTCTAAACTACCTATGTCTTTTAAAAATGGTATATACTTCTATTTCAACAAAAACTTCGGCGAACTAAGTTTCATTCTGTAACTATTTCGATATGCTAACATTCTTCTATGTTCTCTGCGTCAATTTGATATGTTACATCGCAAACATTACAGACAGTTACATAACATGGATTGACATTACAGCTTGACAAAAAGCCTATACCCTAGAGGTCACTGATTCAAATTCTGTCGCAAGCTGGATTTCTATTTCACATCCTGTCATTACTGAATACCAATAAATTTTTTTCTTCAGAAACTATAGTAAACAAGTTGACATGACTTACTTGTGTCACTTCACTTGTATTTAAGGTTAGAACACCTGCAAAACCTCGTTTAGCAGCAATTCTAAGTAAATCCATTTCTAGTCTGGTTAACAGTTTCAAAGATATTTTCTTCCAGTTAGGCAGTACACTTTGTAGATATTTAGAGTTACTGTATGGAGAATGTGATGTAATTCCGACTACTAAGGTTGAAAGTAGGTTATCTGGTAAATTATTATCAAATAACTCCTCTTTAGTACATTCATTAAAATATTGTTGAATCAATTCTAGTTTAGGTGTTCGATTAAGTGATGGAACATGTGATGCTGGTAAACTGATCAAAGCACCAACTAATTTATCTTGTACAAAAACTTGTCCATGTGAATTCTGATAATAATATCTAGCTGTTAATACTATTCCTGGATTAGATATATGACTGTCAAGAAATGTTTCCATTGCTTCTGTTAAATCTACTCGATCTAGTTTCAATGCATGAGAAAGTCGATCTTTTTCGATAAATGAATTGACTAAAATATCAACTATTTCCTGTCTTTCTGTTTCACTGCATGTTTGACCATTCCACTCTTCGATAAAAATTTCATAATTACCCGTTGGACAGATTTTCTATAATATCAAATAATTGAAAAAAACTAATTATGATTACACATTTAAAGTTACAAAAGTTGAATTATGATATTTTTCAAGGTAAAAACAAACTAAAAATCTATTGAGTAATCATTCATTTTATGCTGTTAAGTAATACTTAACATTGTCCAACTGCGGATATCAATTTGTTTGATCAGAGAAACTAGTGAACAGGTGAATCGTTATTCACTGAAGCAGTTATGCAAAATGTATCCTACAAGTTAGTGATAAGAGAACATATATATATCTATATATGACTAGGTGACATTCGATTAATGGTCCAGTCTGATTTGCATTCAGACTTTATTGGGAAAGCTGAAATGAAAATAGTCAACTGAATCACTGACCACCTGACCCATCAAGGAATTATCGAAACGTTGATCTTTTCTAGCCTCCAAAATCAGTGTTGCCTGAAGTGACTATCATCTATGCCTTAGCACTAAGCAGCACACATACTTCATCCTCTCAATACCAAATCCGTTCTTTGTTACAGAGTGAGATATTATCATCCTCTGACTTTAAAAGTTTGCTTGATTGGTCATTCGAAAACCATGAGTATGTGACAATAAACATTACAATACTGTATAATACCATATTGTTAATCACAAAGATCAATATAACATCTCATGAATAGCAGCAGTATCGAGTCATCCGAATAACAGCTCATATGTCAGCAGACGTCTAGCAATTCGACTCTCTGTATAGCAAGGGGAAATTACAAGTATCATTGTAATAACAATACTTATCGTTCTTTGAAAGTAATAGCATATGTAAAAACTTCATTTTCTGCTGCAGACTTTTAAACTTAACAAACTGAGCCCAGTGAAACGAGATAAGAAACTTTGATTGGGATTCTTTCAGGTAAATAATAAAGTGAAGATATGTTCAAAATCGAGTAAGATATGCTCCTTGATTTATGCCTATTACATTAAAAGTTTTCAAAGTCTCTCAACAAGTAAGAAAGGTAATGTATATGGACACTGAATTGTCTTTTTCAATGTTTTTGGTGTTATTATTTGAACATAAATATCCCGTGAAGATACTGTAGACTTGATTTATACATACAGATTTACTCTTTCACTAAATTTTCATGACCCAAAGTTAAAGAACACTACAAAATCACCCTGTAGAACTGTAATTTCTCTACCAATGAATCTTACCAATACATTCAGAATGAACAAGAAGATAAGCTATTCTGTTAAATAGTTGATATAAAAAGTTATCTAATCTAAGACTTTTCACTTTGAGTGGATTTAGCCTCCAAATATAAAATATCATTTGTATAACAGAAAAAAGGGTACATTAATCACTTACAGGTGATGTACTCCATTCATCTTCTACTAATGGGATTCGATAAATAGCATTACATGTTTGTGATCTTCTTAAAACTTTGTTCCAGTGAATATCACTCATTGCCCATGAATTCATTAATGAAGTCTCTTTTGTCTTCTTATAATCTGATTCATTCTTCTGAAGGTATGTTAACAGTGAGCCAATCTTTCCTGTTCTAGTGAATACATCAAGATTGGCATTAAATCCAAGTTGTCTTAGTTGCTCTGTGGCTAGAACACTCTACAAAATATTCAGTTTATAGATAAATTACAGGTAATAACATGTATAGGCTTACTTTCATAATAATTCAGAGCAATACAATAGGGGAAATGTTATCAGTAAAGAAATGTTTTTGCAAACAGTGAACCATGTGTCAGAATTGACAGGTTTATGAAAAACGGAGAAATTTGGGCAAGCAACAACGGTAGGATATAAAAACAATTATACTAAAACTATACCCGTCGCACAAAAAGTGGCTATCGTGGCTCGGTGGTGTAGTGGATAACACCCTGGCGTTGGAAGCAAAAGCTCCCGAGTCCGAATCCCGGTGGGAACAACACACTGGGAAGCAGATACATCCAGCTGATGAGTCCCAAATAGGACGAAATGCACATCCTGGATTCCACTGCTAGCCACGATCCGTCATTAATTACTTAATGAGATTCCATATTCATAACTTTTCAGAAAAATAAGTGACCCTTAATTTAGTACTTTAACTTTCCAGCTCTAAAACAATAATACTTATGGTAGTCGACTGAATGCCTTATCATCATCAAAATCCATAATGTCAGTCTGTGGCTCCATATGGAATTTCAACGGCGAGTCACTTCCTTGATAAACTGATTATTCTAAGGGGCAACGCCAAACAAATCGCACATAGTGATTTCAGAACAATATATAACTGCAACACGAGCAAAAATTATTCTTTACTAATTAAAACTTCTCAAGATTATCATTAAATGTTTCTTCTTTAATGTGACTGAAACATTTGTTTAACCTCAGAATTGCTAATATAGCTAATCATTTAGATTCCAAGAAGCTTACTTTGAAAAAAGTCTGTTAATCTACGTTACTTGCCTTGAGCGGTGGCGCTTATAAGTGATTATCAAGACAACACCTACGCATGCTTGCTTCATTTAACTTTCAGCAGCTGATAGCAATTTCTGCAACAAGACGATTTACAGTTCCTATCCCCATATCGTCGTATACTCCATAATAAAATGATATCAGTGCAACAATGTTAATGAAGAAGACCGTCAAACCGGCAAGCAACCTAATTTTAATTTCAAGTTACGTGACTATCTTGATCATGTATGAAATATGACTGTTTGTGCATACTATGAAAACGTTCTGTGATGTTATATCCTACTTATCTGTAGAAGTGTAATGTTGACACCCTGAATGAGTCACAATATTTTCGAGCGAATTAAAAGCCTCAAAATGCTAGACAGTTATTCACATCAAAAATCGACAAAGGTAGTGAAACAGTTCTTCACCTCAATGCCAACCGTTCCTTATTTCAAAATTTTGAAAACTGAGAGATTAAAAGTGTATCTTATAGGTGTGTTTTAATCAAATCGAGGACTATATATTTGGTGTAGGAAGTCAGTCAATCACCTACTGATTTCCTAAACTTTGCAATAAATATATACCCGATTTCTGTCTCTTCTCAAAGATGCTCTGCCTGTAATCCTTACTTTACACTTATAAGAATGCTTAAATATTTTCCTACATGAGCTTAAGTGTAGCCTGAAAAGTTGGAACTTCGTATAAAGTAAGCATTCGGTAGTCTACAATTTTTAGGAGATTGCTTAAACACTTTCGTCTCAGTCAATAGTATTTCAAGCGAATAACTGTATTATTTTATTTTTATTGTTGCTTTAAGGAAGGTTTCACCTCCACCTCGGTTTATAACTCAGTGACTGTAAATACATTAACCTGATAATTCCGTTCTTTACTACTGAGATTCTTTTATTTTTCGCTGGATAATAGTGATGAACGAAGTTGTTAAGCTATGAAATCTATGCATTGGCTTTCAGCTGGGAGTGGTGTAAATCAACTCGTCAGCCTGTATTGATTACCTGATTATTATGGTAGAGAATCAGAAGGACCTATGAGATAAATTCCACCTCTTACAACAAGCCCATAGAGCAGTGGGAATTCAGCCAAGTGCTCAGAAGTCAGCTTCCTTGTTTATACAAGTCGATAAGAAGCAAAAGATAACGGGCACAGAGTATACTAAGCCTCTGATGCTGGAAAATTCATTCAAGTACTTGGGCCAAACTTCAAGTTGAATAGTGTTATTCAAACTAATTCCATACCTCCGCTCAAGGCTATGTTGTGAGAGGTAGCCGATGAACCCCTTAAATCTCAATAGAATTTACAAATACTGGAGGTCTATCTACTTCTCTGTTTACAAAATCCCCTGTTGCCTAGTTAAAACTGTGCTACTAAACTCAAAAAGGTGAGTCTGCTCATACAAATGATGATGATGATGACTAGTTAGAGTTGTTTCATATCTTGATACTATTTACATTTTAAGGTAAAAGTAAAGGTAACCTGCAACAAAAATTCAAAAAATTAGTAATTTTTAAGTCGTATTACCAGTAAAGAATCACCTCCGAGTTGATAAAAATCCTCATCATCTCTAGGTCTATCAGGTATAACTTCACCATTTGAACTACGAATTCCAAGTACTTCAGCTAGTACTCTTCTAGCTCTTTCTCGATTCTTCATCATTTGAGCATCTATTGGGTTTTTTGTAAGCAATGGATCAGTTTGTCTATTTATATTACAAGATATAACATTATTATCTCTGATCTGTTTTACAGAATCATTCCTCCAGTTAGACTGCATAGTTTTTGTTACTTCAGGAACTTCATAATAATATTTTGAGTAATAGTACTGACGTAAGTATTCTTTGTCAACTTTTCCACTTGTTCTCATCAATGGAATGTGATCAATCTGATAATTATTTTAAAAGAAAGAATTTTTAAGATCAAATGTAAACTAGTTTCAGTACTGAACTTGATAATGGTCAACTAACAGTTTGTTTATTGGTTATCTGTCTAATAATATACTTAGTAACAAAATTTAGATGAAGTAAATTACCCAAAATACGAGATATAATTTGGATAACATCAGGTTTACTTTTAAACCTATTCCTTTAAAGTAATTGTCATAACTTCCTATAGAACTAGTGAATTGAAATATAACTGAATACTGGATGAAAAACTTTTATTAAACCTTTTTTTTCAATCATCCATTAGCCTAGTAAATAACAAAAAAATTCAATAATGATGACTGAATAAGCAAGAGTGAGACTTAATGATTTATGACATAACATGTTACTGGTTGATGACTGGAGTCAAAATGTAGAAATAGGCAGGGATGAGATTTGAACCACTGATAATATAATACATAATACTTATTTTAATTCCTATAGGAGAATATTCTTATTGTACTGAATACACTAACTTGTATGTTTTCAACTAAACTGCATATTAATTTCAAGGAATTATTTATCTCGTTGTAATATCAGTTTGAAAAAGATTAAAAGCTAGCTAACACTGAACAGCTATTTCGTCCAAGTGAAAGACTCGTCAGCAGTGAGTGACTGTCAACCCTGAAGAAGTCGACTGCATAAGGTCTCATACTGAGCACGTTATCATACAACCATTAGGCTGGATTCCAACAGTTGGCATTTTCTTGTTTCTGTCAATTCGTAATATAGACTAGCAATTCAAAGACATGCACTAGTCGGAGTTCTGATGAGAAGTCGTTTCCTATGGGGTGAACCAAGAACATATATTAGCCTATGGTAGCACTACATCTCAGTTTGACAAGAGTAATAAAATGTTGACGGTTTGAATTTCAACCTGCTCACTGAAAGGTAACGTGCGCACTATGAGATCTAACGGTCTTGCTCTCAATTCTACGTGGGTATGCATTACCGAAAAGTCGTCTACTAGGACAAAACAGCTACCCAGTTCTTTCAGATTTTCAATAACTTTTCAACTAATTTCACTCCGTTGTTATTACTACTTTAAATCAATCAATTTACATTAATTGTGTTATAATCCGCATATAACAGTTTTTGGAATGTCATCATAGAATACCTAATTATCTGGTTGACTTTCAAAAAATGTCAGAAAAACACTGGTTAATAAGCAGAGGGTAACCAACTTCATATTGTCTAGTTTTAAGTGCTAGTCGAACTCTATTGATCATTTTGCAACGTGAGCAAAGTGGGTGTAGGAATGGATGGGGGTACATTGACTGCTCACTGGAGGGTTCAAATCTCAGGCGGGACATCAGTTCCGTAGAGGTTACACCTTACTGACGAGCCCTGTTGAATATCTCCATCTAACTAGCATATCAGGAGAACCTCAATCACATCTAATTGTGGTAAAAATAATCTTACAAGCTAGTAATTCATCTTATTAATGCATTTTCCGTATCCTACTCCAAATGATTGCCAGAAATACTGTCAGGTATTCAACATACACCAAATGAAGGTGCAAAACTCTTGAATTTTCTTATATTGAAGGTGATTTTGCAAATACAACTAAAAGATATGCTTCAAGTGAATCAAAGTGGAATAACACATGATAGGAGTGAATAAATTCTAAGAATTTTGATCAATGCAAATCTCTTGTTTTATTGAACTCGCTTGTGTAGTCTTCACAAATCAACAGAAATCAGTGGATTTTTTTCTAGGCTTACAACAACTGTATTCGCCTATACGATGAACAGTAGTGAACTAGTGTCTGAAAATAAGAACTGCTTTTACCATCAAATATAACATCCTTAAGTTGATTACTGAATTCAGGTTCGACTAAGAAAGAGTTTTGAAAATGCAAAATAGTATTTACACGTATATTTTGTGATTATCGAGAATGCACAAGTTTTAAAATATTCAGGTTTCATGTTTTTTAAACTCACATTTATAAATGTAGGTAATAAACACAGAGGTACAAAGTTGCCAAATATAACAGCGAAATCATCTTCTTGAGGTAGTTCTAATTTTTTTTGACTTTCAATGGGTTCAATGTTCATTGTACTGCAGTTCGGAAAATCTTGGTTCTCCTTTGTTTGAATTACATAAAAGCATACCATTTTCAAATCACGCCCATGTACAGTTTGTATTGTCAGAGTAATAGTCTCTGAGACCTTATTGACAAGCTGTTCTTCTTTGCTACAGTTTGTAAGACCTTTAGCTTCCCATTTTTTTCTTCAACTCTATAAATAAATTGTCGATATCACGTGCATGAAATCGTATCCCGTTCACTTTGATTAACTCATTCGTTCTACCATATATAAATAAATGGTTGTTTTCAGGATCAATGAATCCAAGGTCACCAGGCATGAAAATTTGAATTCTCTCCGGACGACTATATGTCCTTGAAAGGCAATCCTTTGAGTCAAATATCTTTTCTTGGTTGTAAGTATGATTATCTGAGTATTTTAGATGGCCTGTTAAAAATTCAATATGACAGTTACTGATGTTTTCGGCTAATTGTTCTCCAAGTATGCACACTTGACCTACATACCCTTTGGGCAAAATCTTAAAAGGGAGTTGTTCCAAATTCATAATCTGGTCTATTGAACCAATACAGGACAAAGATGAAGCTGACCATTCGTTCAATTGATTTTCATTCCCTCCATTATCGTCATCGTCGTCATCATGATTCTGAATTATCATAATAGCCGTTCCTTTTATTGGAGTACCGACTGATAATACTGCTCTACCAGGTTCATTATTTTCTCTCTCTAATCCATAGGGTACAATTTTAGTGTTTCTCAGCACATCTTCTTCACTATGAAGTACTAAACCCGTAACATCACCGGCCACTTCAGTTGTTCCATATAAATTAACAAGACGTATTTTTGTGTCACTGAATAGCTGAAAGAAATCACGAGCCAGTTTAGGACTAACAATATCACCGCTTACAACTATAGTCCTCAAACTCGATAAACTACTTGTCACTGTATGCTTGGGCTTCAAACGCAGTTGCTTCAACCATAGATCTAGCTGAGCTGGAACAGTAGTAATGTGACTAATATGAAAATAATTTGTTAGATTCATTAGCTGTTGAACATCAGTCACGGATTTTTCACTTGGACACATTGATCCACCGGGGACAACTACTGGTATTCCAGCTAAAAGACAACTGAACAATTCAGTGAACCCATCCACAAAACTCCAAGCTGTTTTAGCCAAACCAATACGTCTCACTGATCCAACTGAATCTGTAGTATCTTGAGTATTAGGTAAATCCATGTCAGATTTTGAATTCCATTGCCACTCTAAACGATTAAATAACTGCATTGTCCTGAGTTTTACCGGCTTTGGTCCTGAACTTGTGCTAAATATTTAAAAAATGACAAATTTAATTTAAACTTTTCATAACTTAATTACAACCCTTATGATGAGTGAATTATGTCCCATTCAATTAAATAAGCAAAATTATATTGCACAAATTTATAGTGACACAAGAAACCTCATCATTGAACTAAAATATACAATTTCGACAACTTTATTCCCACATTTTAAGCATGATTACTGTCTTAGTAGTAATAAATAAACCACAGACAAGTTATAAGTAGAAATTTCTCTATACCGAATTCACTAACAATAAATACATAGAAACCACTTATATTTGTAATCTGATAATGCTGGACAAAATCGTCAGAGTAAGTAATCAGAATAACAAACGTGTTCTGATCGATTTCACTGATTTCTATCAGTAAATAAAGTGAAGAATTTTAATATTTGCTTAAAGGAACTCATACACAACCATAAGTACATTCAAGGGATCAATTTTTCAATATATAATCCAACTAAATGAGATCGACGGTTCCTAAGTATGGTTGCAAGTACTTTAAACATGCTACATTGTAGAAATGTATTCATGTTTTGATTATTATGATTGTCAAAAGTTTATTTTAGATATTTTTACTGTACTGAGAAAAAGACTCAATGTATACATTATTTATTTTATTCTTCCCTTGGGTTCTTACGGCAACATACAGCTTCAATAGCACGCCTCCATTACACTCTCCTCTCTCCACTACTTTCAATCTCCCTACACCACTACCAACAAGACTTCATCTCATCCCACACATCATCTCCTCCATGTCACCCTCACCTAACACGCCCAACTCATACTTCCCCCTTTCAATTCCATTCGAGTGTCTCGCCTGACACGTGATCTCTCCAATCAGCCTTCTCACTGTATGCATACCCAATCCCATCCATATCCAATTTCTTCTCCATATCTGTTGTGTGATAGGTTCCGGGTTGGTTCGTTGCCAGACCAACCACAGTCAGTTCCGTGTTGCTCATTCTTATTATTCTCGCCATCCAATCTTCAGTGTCAGTATCGAGTGAGTGTAGGTGCAGCTGTTGATCAATGTCTGCAGTTTGTTGGAACTGATTTTTGTGACACGCTAAGTTTCTGAAGCATCACCTAGAAGCACTGACTTGACTGAATTAGTGTTGAAAATGAGGATGTTGTTCACGCTTTGTGCTCAGTACAGTGGTGTTGAGTGGAGTCGAGTGGAGTAGATCTTCACACTGATTTCACATTAATGAAGATAGGCCTGTCTCGCTGTGTTTCCGATTCTGGTTGCTGTGATATCCTGATATGCGCCACCACCTGTAGTTGAACGATGTTACCCAGACTAGGCTAGACTAGGTGGGTGGAAGAGATTACTTCCTTTAGGTTTCTCTAGTCCATTGTGACTGGTGCCTCTTGTTGTTCGTGCTGCTGTTGTTGGTCGGGTATCTCCATCACCTCCTTCTTACCCACATTCACTTCAAGTCCAGTCCTCCTTCGATGCCTCACCCCGCCTCTTCTGTCAACTTCTTACTTTTCGTCTGTACATCTTCGAGTTTGTGTGACAACACATTAGACATAAATTATCATTGGTGGCGAAATCCAAATCTCTTTCTGTGGTGTTTTCATCTGTCCAGTCAGTGCATTCCCATCTTCTCGCTCCTCACAGTTGCCTGTCGGATTATCCAGTCGAGGACAATCAGGAAGATGATGGGTGATAGTGGGTGGCTGCCTTGTCTAACTCCTGTCTTCACTTCGAAGGCGTCATTGAGCTTTGCATTGTGAATCACTTGGCATGTGGCGTCTTCATATAACTGTTGAATGAGGTTGATAAAGACAAGTGTCACTCCATAGTGTTGAAGCAACTGCCAAATTACTTATCGGTACTGATGCACTATAACGCAAAAAGATATTCAAAGTAAGACGTCTATATGAAACTATTTTTTTTCTTACCTTCCTGAAGTAAATAATACCAAAACAACTGGATCAGATTCAAATGGAAATAAACAAGATCTAGTTGGAATTGATGCAGTGTAAATATCTGATCGTGAATGATATTTCGACAATTTTATCGATTTGATGTATTCATAAACTTTTATATCAAATGACTGAAATGTATTCCGAAGTTCGTCTAAACTTCCTCCTATAAAATCATTAGATAATTTTCTGTCTGAATCACATAAGAACTCGCCATCTGTAACTATTGTTGGTTCAGTACAAAGCTCATCTTTAGAATCATTTTTGTCATATATGAAATCATAATAATCCTTAGCCAGTAATATTAATATAGGTTTTATTTTAGTAAGAATTTGTGAAATACGTCCGACTGGAACATTGCGATCAAGAGGCATATATGCCAAATGTAACTTCATACATGCAATCTGCAAAGATAACAAGAAAAAAATTCAGTGAAATGATTCTTGTGTTTAACTATATGTTCATTACAACGCCTATTTTGAGTTATACATAAATAAAATAAATTATTGGAACCATAGAATAAGAATTCTATGTCTGCAGATATATGAATATATCACAGAAATAATCTTTAAGTGAATTCAGAGAAATAAATAGGGAGAAATTTGAATAATGCATAATTGCGGATTCAAAATATGATCTCCACTCTGTATCATAGTCTGTTAATAAAGTCGAACCAGTATACTGAAACTTTTTCGACCATAGTAACCTAAGTCAGTCAGATTATTAGAAATTAAGATTACATGAGGTAGGTAAAATTAGTTCAGTAGGGAGTAGGTATTTAGCTGCTAACTTGATATGGTGGTCAGTCTTGCATATCACGAAGACTTAATAAGCTATGTTGACAGCAACCCTTGAACTTTGAGGTCCTATCATGTCGGGAAGGTCTACTGAATAGCGGTAAGACAAAAGACAGTAAGTATTATAGTGTAGAAACCCAAGCTACAAGAGACGGGGCCGACAGCTAGGGTTGTATTGATGGTTGGACAGGTACGACAGTTGTAAGATGTTAGCAGTAAGTAACTAGCAGGTCGTTCTAATCCCACCCACCCCTGCATAGAGGCCAGAGGCATAAGTAAGGTCAGTCTCCCGAAATTAAATTCTTCTTTGCCTTGTGGTGCTCCAGTGTAGGCGGTATGCAGCTCTCTTGTGTGGTGGCATCTCAATCGGATCTTAATCTAACACTAGAGAAAATTGCATGTTACCAGTGCCAGCCAGTTATCCCATGGGCTCTACCATCATGCTAAACTAATCAATTTTTCCCTTTCAGATACTTTACAGAAGCAACTTACATAGTACGCTCAGCCAGGAAGTATCAACGTCCATACGGTTACAGCAGTTTATGAAACCAAAAAACCTTAAACTACATTTCTTACATTTGTCTCGTTCTATGTCGTCACTTCATGATCCGAACACTATGTCTCACATAACCCTCTCAAACTCTCACCCTGCGACCACTGTCAACAATCAAAACCAGCGAAATACCATCCCTAGTCTTCCAGAAATCAACGATGCCAATTTCACACTGGAGTTTTCATTATCTGAATTCTGTACCGAATTGGACAAAATAAACCTTGCACCTAAATTTCAAATGTTCTATACTCACAACATTTACAATTTGCAAGCCGAATGGATCAGAAAACTCATTTACCTGGCTATATATCATAGTACAGAACCTTATAGATTCAGCTGTACAAAAAGATGATATTCATAAGTCAGCAATCATGGAAATGGGAAGAAACCTACCTGTAAAAAGTATTCATAGATAGTAATTATTCAATCCCCTTCACCAAACAGGAAATTTGATTAAGCCTACAAAATGGAGTTCTTTTTGTATAATAAACCAACCATATCTCATACACTACCAAGCTAATGTCTTGTTCATTGAGCATATGTTTAGGTCACAAACCGACTAGTTTACCATAAAACGGAGAAATTCTTTTACTCCAAGAAGACAAAATGAATATATTCTACGAAATAACCCACAAAGACTTGATATTAATACTTCAAATAGCCGCAGAGACTTGTAGGTTTTCTTAAGCATCACCACTGATCCTAGGACATGAAATTACTATACGAATTCTATAAAGCTGAGACCAAGAAAATGTTAACGGATTCTTGAATGTATGGCTTTATGATTTGGGTAGATAATACAATGATCTCTCTAAAACTTCATCATCATTTTTCATCTCTATCCACCCTTCCTTCTTAGTTACTGTATATTAAGTTTTTATCAAAAGGTACTTCCTATACTCAGGATAATGCCCCCATGGCCTAGTGAATAATCCTTTGGCTTTTAGAGCGATATGTACTGGCTTCAAGTCTCAAAAGGAACAACATTACTCACTCTGACGCAGGTATGTCCAGCTGCTAAGTTCCAAATGGGACGAAACCTGAGTAGTCCTGGATTTCATTGCTAGCCACCAGGTCAATTTTAACAGGTAACTATCTGCAAAAATAAAGAACTTGCAGAGCAATGTATGTTATCCCCCTAATTTTTTTTGATAGGTGTATTTCGATTATAAATCATCACTTAGCTGTTTCTCAGACAATTGTTGTATACTATTATTATATTATTATTTGTCCCTTGGGTTCCTAATGGAACATACGGCTTCAGTAGCACGCCTTCACTCTTTTCTCTGAAATCTTTTCAGCCTGGCTCCTCGACAGCCCACAACCTCTCATTTCCTCCTAGCACGATCTCCTCCATGTCATCCTCACCTCAGACACCCAACTCGTCGCTTCCCATCTGGGTTCCACTCGAGTGCTTGGCCTGTTGCGTGATGTCCGTAGTCGGCCTTCTTAGTGTATGCCCAATCCATCTCCACTTCCTTCTGCGTATTTGTTGTATACTACTCTGATTAAATTAAGTTGATAGAAAGTTTCAGCTACAAAAAAGAAACCAATTAATTTGTGATATCATAAATCAATTTAAATAGTGTTAAACATCATATTCATTATTGTTACATTCACATACTTGTGCTACAATACGGTCGATTCCTGGTGGCATAAATAATGCAACTATTGTATCCGATTGATTTTTATGTTCTACTGGTTCATCCACCAATGAACATGAAGTATCATTTAACTGTGTTCTGTTAACCTTCTTTGTTATATTTGACCATTTCGGTTCAAGATAATTAGCTAAGTTCATAGCCATACGATTAGCTGCATTATTTAACTGTGAAAATGTCATTGAATAGATTTCATTTGATTCTTGATAAATCAATGGTTGACTATCGGTGATCTCATCGCTAAGCCAACGTTGATGGTGATCAATTAGAGTTCGTTTCTTAATAGTCTCTTTGTACAACACTTTCTTGGTTTCATTTTCCGTGTTATCTTTATCAGTATTAGTTAATGTACGCGTAGAAATAATAAAAGAGTCATTTAATTTTGAAAATTGATCATTAGTGTATTGATATGTAAAGTTAATTGGATTTGGAACATGCCATATTGCTGTAGAACCACAAATTGATGATTGAGTTAAGTTTTCCAATAGTGTATGAAGAAGTGAACTCTTCAATTGGACAAGTGAATGTGGCATTAATACAGAAAAATCTATATAAAGAAAATAGGAAAATAAATTTATCATTTAAGAAATCCGACTTCTCAGTTAATTGATATGTAAACATTAAGAAAAGTAACACTAACTTCATGTTTACTTGAAAAATAAATTTGCTTATTGTTTCGTTACCGTTACTCTTTTAGAATTTTGTTTGTTGCAACAGAAATATCTTTGCAGAAATGAAGTTTATATTCAACAGGATGTTTCAATTGCAAAATCAGGCTTGAAAATTGATTAACCAATAATGTTCTGGAGATAAAATGTTTAAAATTAGTTCGTACTGTTTCTTTTACAAGACACTTCCTCAACCTTGGAGAAACAATAACCTCTATGAACTTATCAGCATTAGAGAACCCTGAAATTATCAAGACCGACAATGAACTGGATGGTTTGAAAAGACTTGGGCACCGAATTAGTATGATTCAAAGTATAAAGTGTATTTTAACTTGTGTAATCCCGGCGTAATATATTAGAACACTCACTCACCTGTATTACATTGGTCTTTGATCTATATCATGATGTAACTGGACGATCGTTAAGGTCATCACCGTATACTATGAATATAGAGAACTATGATGATTATTTCATTTGTTGATAACCAAAATGTATCATCTATGCTTTCACCAGTTGGAGTACTCCCAAAGAAAAGATTCTATTGCGTCAGAATGTATAGGTTTAGTCAAGGTTTCAGATGATATTTGTTGAAGAGTATCAAGAAACAAGGTAACTAATCCGAAGGTCTTCTAGTGACTGAATTCAAACGCACGATATGATGACAACCTGATCAGTTTACTTTCATTACTTAACTAAAAAAATTAATTGGTGCGTAGTTATACATTGTTACATTGAATCCAATCGAACGATACATATGTAGACTCTATTAATCTGAGAAATAAAATACAGTCAAAAAGTCTGATTGTCCTGAACTTGTGAAATATCTTTCCATCTAGGAGTTAGAAACACTCTTTAAAGCTACAAACATTCAATATGGTATTTCTTTTATAAATATCATGAAACTGAATACCAGAATGCATATCATCAACAGCAACACTCCTTTAATGTTGCCAACAGTAGCCAGTTATATCTAATCAGTTATAGGCATTTTAAAAGTAGGGACTAGACTATTCTCATTAAGGTAAACATGCTCATTACGTAGTCACGTTCATATTTTACTTCAGAAACATATCCTCAGATATCTTGTAGCTTCTACTAAAACTTTTAATGTTATAGGCTGTCATTTTAAACTTTGATATTGATAGCAGTGAAACCCAAGAAATATCGAGATATTCACATAGAAGACTATACGTCAATACTGTCTAATCAACTACGATGATTCAGGTTCTATAAAGAGTGGCTATCATGTCTCGGTTGTCTAATGGACAATCATTTGGCATTTGAAGTGATAGTTATACGGTTGGAGTCTCCGTAGAGACAACATCAATCACTAGGAGACAGGTATAAATTCATGCCACTAAGGAATATCTGAATAGAACAAAACACACGCCTTCCATCCCAATGCTAGTCAACATAGATCAGTATTATTCTAATATTTTTATTCAATCAACATTTAGTTATTAGAAGTAGTATTCATCATGGACTGATATCAGTTGGGGAACCATTGAAAATTTGAGAGCACTGGACAGCTGCCTCATCCTAGTATGGGACTCTTCAGCAGTACGCACCCACTACCAGGCTAGGGTTTCACGGTGAACGCGTTAACCATTCAGCCACTGGGTCGGTTTCCAGTGATTCACAATTTCCAACTTGTGTCAATTCACGACATAGTACGACTGTCACCCAAGGTCTTTAGTTAGCATCCACTTCACTTCCGACTGGTTGAACCCTCAGGTAATGGCTTCTCATTAGAACTTCCTGATATCCATCTGGAAGCAAGTCACTAATGAGCACTATAGAGTAATGTATTTTTGAGATGAATGGGGATTTTTAATTTCGAAGTAGTATTCATCATGAAGTGAAGTGGATGCTAACTGAAGACCTTGGGTGACAGTCGTACTATGTCGTGAATTGACACAAGTTGGAAATTGTGAATCACTGGAAACCGACCCAGTGGCTGAATGGTTAACGCGTTCACCGTGAAACCCTAGCCTGGTAGTGGGTGCGTACTGCTGAAGAGTCCCATACTAGGATGAGGCAGCTGTCCAGTGCTCTCAAATTTTCAATGGTTCCCCAACTGATATCAGTCCATGATGAATACTACTTCTAATAACTAAATGTTGATTGAATAAAAATATTAAAATAATATTGATCCTAATAATTAAAATTATACCAATAATAAATAATTACTTGAACTCTTCACCGTGTGTAAATTACAATAAATGAAATGGCCTATCATATAGTATGATGATTGGATCATATATCTCTATTTCAAAGTATAAAGGCTTATTATAGTCATCTTAAATGATAAATAAAAAAAATTTCACTAATTAATTAATTATAGAGGTAATATGGCTAGACATGAAGAATAAAATGACCTGTAATAATATATTTTAGTAATATTTATTGTATTATATTGACTGAACAAGTGCTTAAATGAAATAAGAAGTGTATGATAATGTCAACACAGATACATTTGATAACTGTTGATATAGTAATTTCATTATCAAATATGATTCCATTTTAACATTTATTTATATAGTAAAAAATCTGAAATTTAACAAGAGTAATCATTTTAATAATATTTACATTGACGTTTAAGGCATTTTCTCTTAAAGTGCAATAATGATATCTCCTAGTTTTCATTTTAACTGTGTTACTTTTACTTCATACTGCATTTTTCTTTCACTGAGATAGTAATCACTTGTTGTTTCATGAAATAATTAATTATTATATCATTATTTTTCCCTTGGGTTCCTACTGGAACATACAGCTTCACTAGCACGCCTCCATTACACTCTCCTCTCTCCACTACTTTCAATCTCCCTACACCACTACCAACAAGACTTCATCTCATCCCACACATCATCTCCTCCATGTCACCCTCACCTAACACGCCCAACTCATACTTCCCCCTTTCAATTCCATTCGAGTGTCTCGCCTGACACGTGATCTCTCCAATCAGCCTTCTCACTGTATGCATACCCAATCCCATCCATATCCAATTTCTTCTCCATATCTGTTGTGTGATAGGTTCCGGGTTGGTTCGTTGCCAGACCAACCACAGTCAGTTCCGTGTTGCTCATTCTTATTATTCTCGCCATCCAATCTTCAGTGTCAGTATCGAGTGAGTGTAGGTGCAGCTGTTGATCAATGTCTGCAGTTTGTTGGAACTGATTTTTGTGACACGCTAAGTTTCTGAAGCATCACCTAGAAGCACTGACTTGACTGAATTAGTGTTGAAAATGAGGATGTTGTTCACGCTTTGTGCTCAGTACAGTGGTGTTGAGTGGAGTCGAGTGGAGTAGATCTTCACACTGATTTCACATTAATGAAGATAGGCCTGTCTCGCTGTGTTTCCGATTCTGGTTGCTGTGATATCCTGATATGCGCCACCACCTGTAGTTGAACGATGTTACCCAGACTAGGCTAGACTAGGTGGGTGGAAGAGATTACTTCCTTTAGGTTTCTCTAGTCCATTGTGACTGGTGCCTCTTGTTGTTCGTGCTGCTGTTGTTGGTCGGGTATCTCCATCACCTCCTTCTTACCCACATTCACTTCAAGTCCAGTCCTCCTTCGATGCCTCACCCCGCCTCTTCTGTCAACTTCTTACTTTTCGTCTGTACATCTTCGAGTTTGTGTGACAACACATTAGACATAAATTATCATTGGTGGCGAAATCCAAATCTCTTTCTGTGGTGTTTTCATCTGTCCAGTCAGTGCATTCCCATCTTCTCGCTCCTCACAGTTGCCTGTCGGATTATCCAGTCGAGGACAATCAGGAAGATGATGGGTGATAGTGGGTGGCTGCCTTGTCTAACTCCTGTCTTCACTTCGAAGGCGTCATTGAGCTTTGCATTGTGAATCACTTGGCATGTGGCGTCTTCATATAACTGTTGAATGAGGTTGATAAAGATTAAAGGCACTCCAAATTAGAGAGGTGTTTATATGTAAACTGTAAAAAAGTTACTTGTTTTCACATGAATTGATTGACAGGATGATTTCTTAATATTGAAAGGTAAATAGGTTGTTTCGACTATGCATTTGTCGAGGTTTTCGCTAGATCATTTAAAAACTCTAGTATTAACGTACAATTTAACATTTTGTACCCCTTATTACCTGACGAATTTCATGCAGTATCGATTTAAGATTGGCTTAGATCATCTTTGTTGTATTATCTAAATTTTTTTATTTTCACGATACTCTTGAACCTTATTTAAGGTAAAATCCAATGGTTCACGAATTCTTAACTGTTACTCAACTAATCCCTGAATAAGCATATTAAATTTTTCCTATAAGTTAGTTAAAATGTTTTGAGTGCATTCACATGATTTTATGTCAAGTTCCTAACCTAGGTTGTGTGTTAAGTGCTGAAATAATAATCTATTAAACATTTCCAGTGAGATATCAGTACTATAAGCCTATTATTTACACGTCAAATTATACTTACATTATTTCAGGATAGTCCACTTTATAGCTAATCAGTTTATAGATTATCTGTTAAAATAACCTGACAAAATTGACCAAGATTTCGCTCATATTTCGGTACTTTCATTCATCATACAATCATATAATATCATACTATTCTACAGAATATGTTTTTTATTCATATGTTACAAAGAATTTGATCAATGATCTGATCATCATTAGCCTTGAACAAAGAGAAGAAAATCAATAATTTGATTCAATCATTTAGTTCCAACCTTGACATAAACTTGAAAGTGTCTTTTCATAATTGATACACAAACTAAAATTAAAATCAGGCTATTACTGTCAAAAAGTACCTCATCCAAGTATTTATGACAAAACAATTACTATTCAGAAAATATGCGTGAATGTGACAGTACTCTAAAATTATATATATATATATATATATATATATATATATATATATATATATATATAGTTTAACGGTAGTATTATTAGTGTTTGAAGGAATAAACACTTCAATAACCACAGATGTAATGCGTTCAACATTTCTGTACAGAAAACTACATACTGTTTTTGAGTTCATTTACCATACTGGACTTCACAGTATTACTTTTATGATACATTGAAGATTTATCATGAAAATATTAATCTATATAGAAATGATGGATAATGGCTAACAGTGGAATCCAGGATGCGTATTTCATCCTATTTGGGACTCGTCAGCTGGATTTACCTGCCTCCCAGTGAGTAATGTTCTTCCCACCGGCATCCACACAGGAACTCATATGCCATCAGAGACTGATTAATTCGGCCCAATCAATGACGGTGTAATACAAGCAATAACACTAGAATATAAATCTGTTGTAAAAAAAAAGAATTAAATCAATAAATCTAGTCACATTTGTTTCAATTGACTCTTGATATATATATATATATATATATATATATATATATATATCAGGAAAGCTTATCGGTGTTTTTTAAGGGAAATTAACACTCAAATAGGTTGAAAAATATTTTGATAAGACCACTTATACATACTAATATATTGCACGAATTTAATGTCGAATTTCACAACAACAGACATATAAAAATGCAGATGAGTTAAACAAAACTCTAGGAAAAGTAAACCGTTTACCAGGGTTTCGATAAATGTGTGATATTGTTAGTATGTTTATGCAATAAATGTGGTTCAAAGTCTACCGAATACATATAAATGTATGACCGATTAAAAAGTGATACATTCGGGTTGATGGTTATGTATTGATTAGCGAAAGTCACAACATTTCTCAAGATCAGTATATTAATGAATAAATGTTGTTTAGAACTCTGAAAAGTGTTGAAAACAAAAAAACCCGGAAATTTTTGAAAAAACTACAAAACTCAGAGTTTGCTATAAATAGAGTCCCTTTTAAAGTCAAAATCACCAACTTTTAAAATAAAAGTATAGGAAAATTTAAAAAAAGGACTACTGTACATGTAGATAGATAAATTAAGCAAAGGAAAAAGAAAATCTTTAGTTAAGCATTCATTTGATAAGATGATTTTTTTCGAAATTAAAGCGTGTTCATCAGACATATGCAGTATTGGTTTCATTGTCCACTAATATACATGGGTCAACTTTGATCCCTTACAATCAGTAATATAAGCTTGACATGTTTATCAGTTCAATAGCTTCCTATAAATTAAATTTATATTCTGTGAGCTTTAGATACCTCTCGAAACGCAGTTTTAAGTGTAGACTCTCCAATTTCTGCTCATAAACTCAATTATTTATTTTTTCTACAAGTATCTCCAGCTACATATAAGTGAAACTTTTCAACGGGAAGAATTTTTCATGTGAATATATTACTTATCTAATACACATTAATTTACCTAACAACTATTACCATATTCCTTCTAATATCCCACACCCTTTAAATTAAGAGAAAAATATATATGCTTTTACATCGAGATCACATGTCTTTCTTTCCTCGCACTTTCATTAATAAACTCCTATGAGCATAATTTTTCTAGTCTATCAAGTAGCCTTATGAGTCGATCTATGTATCAACTAAAATTAACAATTGGCAAATCATACAGAATTATTTTCAAGAGTGACCTTTTATTCCTTCATAAGTTTACCGAAACAGTAGATATGTAAACTGAAACAGTCTACTTCTCTAACATAGAGGTTTTGATTAGCATAACTTGATTTACTACCAGAGCTTTTCGTCAAATAAATATACGTTCTAATAATTTCATCAAACGATTTTCTACGCAAGATGATCTATTTCCTTTAAAAAATGGATTTTAAAGGATTTTTAAACGACAAAACAATTTCTCTTTTCAACCAAGCAATCTACTCATCTTAATGTCATTAGACGTCACTTTCTAAAGTGCATTAATTTGTATGTCTTGGATCAACAACAAAATTGCTGCGCACATAAATTTCTTTTCAGTATAAGTTGTTGTCTGAGATCACATCTTGGTTGGCGGACGTTTCACTGTCATTCTAGACATCATTGTCAAGGCTTCTCTATAGTTTAAATGTTTTGTCATAAATCCCCTAAGTGTACACCTACTTGAAATTTTGTTAATGTTGCTACACCTATTTCTATCTACCTGTTTGGAATAAGATATATTTTGTACAAGCTTTTATTTTCATTCAGGATCAAAACCGATGATTACTTTGTAATATATAATTTTTCTTTTTTGCTCAGCATTTAACCAGACAACTTCAGTTTCTTAGCGGAAATTATAAAATCAGGGAGATATGAATACGGTTCTAGTTTTCAATGTCGAACAGCTTGGATATCAAAGTATTCATTTAGTCCTTGGTTGCGCATTCGTTTTATGAGATTCAGTTATACTACTGCTTACAATGTGCTTTTTAATCATTCTGAGTAATGCATCTGAAAGAAATTAAATAAATTGTGAGTTTTCTGTTACGCATAGTGGTAAATCTAACCTTAGAGGGATGCTGACTGATTGACTAAACCAACGACAAGTAACCAAGTGACTGCCCATGGTAAATAGATACTTACCACAAAGATACTTCTTACCGAAACATTTGTCTGTCACATTTATTCTCGGATTTTTCCCCATTTTACTACCGTTAGCTTCTTAAAATTGCAAATGTTTATATTTGTCTCTTTTAAGCTCATGTAAGGTTTACTGGTCTTGCCAAGTTTCTCTCATCTTACACGAATACTTAGAGATTATAATCTGATTTTCTGAATATACCTAGAAATTTTTCTATACACCCGGTTGTCGGTGATTTAAGTTTACTAGAACAATCCTCTGAGTTATGCGGATGCATTTATCTTGTAAATCACTGTTCATTATCACTTAACTGTTAAAGTGACTGAAAAACTAGTCATCCAGATTTTCCGATATGTATGTATATAATGATGTAGGATGATAAATGCAGGCGAAATGAAAACCTGAGGCGTATCGGGGTTCGAACCAGCTAGGTGCTTTACCAACTGAGCTACAAGACTCACCTTCTGACCAGACCTTAACCTCACTTCAATATAGAGTGTGTAGTTAATTAAATTTTTTCGCATGCTCAGTCATTTTCTAAGTATATCAAAAGAAACAACGTCATACTGTATTCAAACGCCAATTGGCCTAGTTTACCGGATTTCCATTTCAGAAACTAGAACTAGCCCAAGGTGACGACTTAAGTGATTAGTTTACATTTTCAGCACTCAGATCTCTGATCTGTTTTACTTTTACCTGACAAATCTTATCCACAGTTTTCAGATGTTTCATAGGAAATCTTCGAGAACTTTCTTCTTTCTTAAGATATGGGTAGCTGATTATCACAGCTCTGATTATCCGATTTGGTCATGTTACCTCCAGACTTTCAGTTAGGCTTTCACTATTAATACTTAGATAAAAATGATGCCTAGTTTTCAATTCATTATTTAACTAAACTTATCAGCTTATGAGTAATGCAACTTGGCTCTCGTGAAGTGAGAGCTTTTCTAGTGTGGCTTTCAAAATTATCAGTAAACATACATATTTGGATTTTTTTCATTCTTTTACTTGTCCCTTGGGTTCCTAATGGAACATAAGGATTCCACTCCACTCTCTTCTCTCCAAACTTTTGAACCTGGCTCCACAACAGCCCATAACCTCTCATTTCCTCTTCGCATGATCTCCTCCATATCACTCTCAGCTAGGACACCCAACTCGTCACTTCCCATCTAGGTTCCACTCGGTGGCCTGACCTGGCACATGATGTCCCCAGTCCGCCTTCTCAGTGTATGCCCAGTCCATCTGCACTTCGTTAACAACCAGAGTTCCTTCTGGCTTGTTCTTTCTAGCCGTCTGATCTTCAGTATCGAGCCAGGGTAGGCGGCAGTTGTTGACGAATGTCTGCAGCTTGTTGGAAATCCCTTTCTTAACGCGCCAAGTCTCTCAACTATCAAACAGAAGCACTAACTTGACGCTGGTGACATATTTGGATACTAGAATGTAATTCATTCTATAAAACTTTGTAAAGTATTCTACTTGTTTATTGTTTATGTGTAACAACTCCACTAGAATTCTGATTCCAAGATACAAGAAGCGATTTATATTTCATCTCTATTTCCTAATACTTTATAATTGGTATTATTTGTTTACATGACGTCAAGTTGACACAAGATATGAAAACTATAATGTGATACAGTTAGTGGATAGAAAGAAGAAATGCATCCAGTGGACAATTCTAATAATGATTAAGATTATATGAATGATCTGAAACTTAAAATAATCATATAATGGAAATTTCTTCTTGAATAAAAGTATAATATGCCTAACACTGTTGTTCATTTAGATATTTACAAATTTGATTTGTTTAGATTCATTTATATACATAAACAAACAGTCAACTATACAATCAAAAGTCTATACAAGCCAATAAGTAAATGGCGAATGATTAATTATTTATGCCAAATACAAAACAGAGAACATGTCTTATGCATAACTTATTGACACATAATTTATTACGTCAAATTATGACGTTGATCATCATAAATATTACAGTTATATCTTATTTATCTTCCTCAAATAAGTAGAACATGTATTAAACAGACATCAGCTGATATATCTAACATATTAATACCTTTTTTCTTTATAAAAAGAAATTTAGATGATATCTAAGTAATGTTAGAATATATCTAGGAAGCACTGTTTCAACTACAGGCGGGACAGACGAGTATGTCAAAGTCAGAATCGGAAAAGCAAGACAGGCGTTCATTAACCTGAAACCAGTGTGGAGATCTTCTGCACTCCACTCAGCATGCGGAACAAGATCCGGATTTTCAACACCAACGTCAAGTCAGTGCTTCTGTATGGTTCAGAGACTTGGCGCATTACCATAGGGATTTCCAACAAACTACAGACATTCATCAACAACTGCCACCTATCCTAGCTCGATACTGAAGATCAGATGGATTGCCAGAAAGAATAAGCAACAAGAAGCTCTGGCTGGTGACGAACCAACCAACAACCTATCACTCAACAAATATGCAATGGAAGGAAGTGGAGATGGGTGGGATTGGGCATACACTGAGAAGGTCGACTGGGGACATCACGCGTCAAGCCGTCGAGTGGAACCCAGATGGGAAGCGACGAGTTGGGTGTCCGAGGTGAGGGTGACATGGAGGAGATGGTGCGAGGAGGAAATGAGAAGTTGTGGGCTGTCATGGAGCCAGGTTCAGAAGATTTCGGCGAACAGAGTTCACTGGAGACGTGCTACTGAAGCCCTATGTTCCATTAGGAACTCAAGGGACTAATAATAATAATAATCTTA